TATATATATATATATATATATATATATTAGAGTGAAACTAACAGTGGAAAAGTAAATAGAAAAAATTAGTTTATTCCGTCAAAGTGAAATTGACAAAATAATTGAATCAGCCTGAGTGCACTTTGACAAAAGGAACATGTGATCTTCAGAAGAAAGAAGACTACAATCGTAAGTGAATCACATCAGACTAATATTGCGATAGTACTAGAGAAAATGGTTCGGCTTGTTAGTTGAGATTCTAAAGTAACTGAACAGGCCTAAGTGGACTAGAAGAGGAGAACTATACATATACTGATATAACGTTTACGATATGCTTATATTTGGAATTAAATGCACTAATAAAATGAATAAAATATTGCATAATATTTATAATTTTTTCTTGTGATGAGGATGAAGAACCCCAAATACATCTTCATGGTATCGATTTTCTGCCTGAAAAGAAAAAAAAATCATAAGTTTAAGATCGAGAAGTCAGTTTCTAAAAGACATTTCAGGTATTTTTATACGAAAATAATATCGTATTCACTGTAAGTTTAACCTTTTTTGGGTTTATTTTTATTTTACAAATTTGTGAACAACTCTAAAGAGTGGATTAATATTTTACTTAACAATCGTAAAATTATATGTTTTCTTTGGATATTCGCGCAAAGATGTCCCTAATTTTGAACTAGCCAATTGGAGGGAGGCAGCTAGTCCAAATATCCACTGTAAAGTCTTGGGCTTCTTTTGTTTGACGGATTCGTCCGTCACTCTTTTAGCACGCCCACGGCCCCAAATAGCGGAGTACGAACCGAGAATCATGAACCTCCAGATTCACGGTATTGGTGTAGTCTTTAGGCCATGCCCGGCACTCATGTGGCCATGAATGGAAAGTTTTTTAGTCTATATTTGACGCTGAATGACCCCTTTAAATCATTATCATCAAATCTATTAGAAAATAATAAGTTATTATGAAAATGTTATTAAATCTAGTTAAATGTTTACCTTGCTAAAACTAAATGAAAAGTTTAAGCTTTGAAATTTCGACCACGATAATTATAACGAGATTATTGAAAAAAGAAGTGATGAGAAATGTACATCTTACCAGAAGTCTTTCGAAATGCTCTTCGCTATCTTCTTCCTCTGACTGCGAACTTCGCAGAATAATCTTTAATGCTTTTCTAATGTCATTAGCCATAACTGCATTACCACAAACATAAACATGTCCACTTTCTGACAGCAGCCTGATAACCAGCTGGAACTCTTCCTTTAAAACGTCTTGAACGTATTTCTAACACAACAGAAACAAGAATGAACAATATGAGCGTGGAAGCCATGCTACAAGAAATATTTTGCTTGAAATCAATATATGTTGAAATCGAAGTACAATAAAAAAAACATCAGCAGTAAGAATTTTTTCTATTGATATTTTATTTATTTTACCCATCTCGTCACAGCTGCGTAAATAAACCTCTCGTAATGTTTGTATGCCACTCTTAATGATAAAACTATAACAAACGTTTAATGAATGACTGCACTTGTTGTAAACACTTAGTTGTCAATGACATGTTTGGTTGATATTACTGAACTTCTAGTAAACAGTTGTCAGTGATACGTACGGCTAATATTGTTTTAAGTACACTAAACACTTCATTGTACATGACAGATTCGGTGGAGCTTTCAAAGATGATAGGATCAAAACAGGATATCTTCTCCATCGGTGGAGCTTTCAAAGATGATATTAACAGAGGGGCTATCGCTTTACTTGGAAATATTGGATCATATTTGTAAAAAGAAACGAAGGTCTGAACTTGTGACTTTGCTGAAATTATTCTACACAATTCCAGTACAATCACTTAGTGCTGCACAATCACTTAGATGCCCAAAAAGGATAAAGAAAGAAAGACTTAATGACTTGCCAGTTCTGCACCTTCGAAAGAAGACGATTACTGCTTAAATATATATATTGAAAGACTCCTGGATAACTCCATTTTAAGAACAGATCATTGTCACAAAGTGTTTGCTATTTTCTAAGTGGTAAGTGCTAATTATTATTATTTCTATCTCATCAGTATAAATGCGTTATTATTGCTGTTCAATGAGTTTTTTTTTTTTTGATAAGCTGGTTTATTTCGGTGTACACGTCAGCTGTGCAGTGGCTGTCCTTTAAAGGATGTACAATGCTTGCGTTTATAAAGTTTTAAAATATCGTTTATACACAGTTTAATTACATATTTCCCTTAATTATTGCCCTTACTCTTACCTTGTATATCCGAGACTTCAATTGAGAATTATTGTTGTGTATCTTGGCATTTTATTTAGATTTATTGTGTATTTGTAGCCGCTTTAAAATGACCAAAGTATTGTTTTTATTCTTGATCAAACAGTGATTCTCTTGAATCTCGTTCTATTAGAAGTAAATGCTGGTTAATTTATATGTATGATGGCGTGTGTTTTGTTGTTTTGTGTGTGTGTGTGTTCAGGAAAACTTTGAGTGTTTTCTTGCAAACAACTGGAAGCTTGCATAAAAAGGAGGTTACGTTCTCGTTTTAGTAATTAAAAATATTTGGTTTTATAGTTTAAGGGTAGGCAGTTTGTTTTTACTGTATCATGGAAGGTTTGTCGTTTATCCATACCATTTTATAGCACAATATATTCCAACTTTGTGTCATACGTAAACAATAGGCCTAGATTGTGCAACAAACGTGATATCCTAATTATATAACCATAGACCAGAAAACGGTAGAAATTTTATAATTTTTTTTTACAGAACTCTTCTTAATAATGTACCCAGTCAATATTTTACAAACTTTCCGAAATGTTTTCTACTGCAATTAAAAAGTGCGGGGCTCCAACTCCTTCTGGGCAACACCAAAAATTTGACAAAGCTGGCGACTACGACACATTTGGTTGATATTGCTGTACTTATGGTAAAAATGTGGTTGTGAATGACACACGCGGTTAATATTGCTGTACTTGTTTTGTGCTATTCTTGTCTTCCTTACTCTCAGTGTGCCCCCTCAGTGGTACGGTGGTATGTCTGCGGGCTTATAACGCTACAAACCGGGTTTCGATACCCGTGGTGGACAGAGCACAGATAGCCTATTGTGCAGCATTGTGCTAAACTACAAACAAACAGACAAACTCTCAGTGCAAAAATATGTTTAATTTGTGTAACGGTAAAAGAAAGGATAGGGATAAACTAGAAGGAGTTTATGCTAGAAGTTCGATGTAAATTAATCACCTCCATGCGAAAGTAAAATAGTAATTGTCAAAACCGAGTTGACATTGGCTCGAACCACTCAGGCGGACTACACAGTTACTGCCTGTGATAAAAGTATTTCTAACCCTAAAAAAAAACCTTTATCACAGAGCCCACTTAATCAGTTGTAATTAGGTGTAAAAAATTACCTTTTCTTTTCCAGGCTGTGTCGAGAAAGCATAATAGACTTTGTGGAGAATTCCTTTATCAACCAAACTTGATAGCTCGTACTCGTAGATCGTATCTACTCCAGACTTCCAACATCCAAAAAATAACACCATCTCGCCGAAACTAGTTGGCATCTTTTGGTTCTTAATGTCTGTATTACCCTGTTCTTTTAACTCTAGCTCTCGTTGTTGCCAGAAGCTCCTGAAGGGGGCAATACCACTTCCTGCACCAATCATGATAATAGGAAGGGATCGATCAGTAGGCATACGAAAGGTCTGTGTGCTATGGAAAGAGAAAGGAAATTGAGTATTTAATTGTAGATGATATAAGAGTGTGATACACTTCACCTTCACATATATAATTCATAAGTTAAACTGTAAAGAAAGTTACTGGTCACGTCATACACAGTCAGTCCTGTTCTTATGTCTTGTATACGTCAGTTGGACGACTTTCATTTTAAATTTTAAATTCTGCCTGTACTGAGCACCAGAACTTATTTTTAAGGTGGTACTAGTACCGGGGTTTATTTGAGCTGCTTTGTTGTGTTTTACGTTTACACATATATTTTGTTTTTCAAAACAGGCCCACATATCCAGCTGAGTACCTCAACTTTTTTTTTGAGAATTTCACCCCTGATTTTGAATAAAAATAACTTCATAAGTACATAGGAAGTTTATGGCACACACATTTAGGTTTCTGAAGTGAAAGGGAAAAATTCCTCATGCATTTAATTTGATATCTGGATTAATTATTACCCAAATAAGAAATCAATGTGCTAACGAAATGTGGGGAGTCTATATCGACGCTTTTGTTCGCATTCCATGTTATATTTTCAGCAGATTTTATTATTTCTGTTTCACATAGTTTTGAAACCTAGTTATTTGCAGAAACATAATCATATCATGAAAACTTTAGGAAATATACAGTTCATAATTAGTCATCTCAGAACTGATATGCTTACCAAAAATGATCAACAGTTTTTACACGATATTATTATTAATAATTTATAAAATACTCAGTAAAAGAACAATATCTTTGTTAGGTAATAAGTACTATTATTTTATTACACTAATACACTCACCTTCTGATAAAACAATAAACATCGTGACCAGGTAGGCTATCCAGATATGACGTACAAACACCAAAACGACGAGGTCCTTTGCCATCTAAGTATAAAATTTAAGAATTAATTCTGATATATATAAGTAAGTAAATAGTTCTAATACTATATATTAGATCACACGCATATAGGCGATAAAACAAGCACTATACACCATTGATGAAAGTTAATACGAAAACCAAACCTAGATGTGTATTACGAGACTAACAACCAACTTTCTTTTTTGTTATTACGAGACTAACAACCAACTTTTTTTTGTTATTATGAGACTAACAACCAACTTCTTTTGTTATTGTCTTAATACACATCTCACTTATACACACACACACACATATATACGCATATATATATATACAACGCTTTTTGTAAGAAGTCGGCAAGTGTACAAAGGTCGAAGACAAGAAATACACGTAATGCTCTTTTAAATATAAAGTTGAAAATCTATCAGTAGATTTTATTAATTCTAAAAGGGTCTAAGGGTTTCAGTATTGCACATCTGCAGACCAGAATTCTGTTGCGGTGAATAAATCTAATATAACATATGTTCACAACTTCTTGTAAGATATTTGGCAACCTATCGGATCTAGAAAGGCTCACGAGCTTTCAGTATAACTTGGCTTCAAGTCGCATTTCGTGAATCATCGAATTATGGAATTTCTTTAAGCTCAAAAAGTGTTTAGAAATCACGTTTGACCGCAGTTGTTTTTTACCACATTAGTGTATTATGAATTTCATGTTAATGGTATGTGAAAACATTATTTCAGAAGTACATAACTCTATCAAAATAAACAAATCGCTTAGGTAATCACACCGGGGGGGGGGGGGGTCTTGATCGATGGAGACTGCGTTCTGTTAGGGACCAGTGAGCGAGTCAAGTAGTCTGTGGATTCTGTGAGCAGATCAAGTAGTCTGTGGATCCTGTGAGCTAATCATGTAGTCTGTAGATTCTGTGAGCCAATCAAATAGTCTGTGAACCCAGTGAGCAGGTCAAGCAGTCTGTGGGATTACTCGTTATTCTGCTCCCAATGGCTTAGTGGTAAGTCTGAGGGATTAAAACGCTAAAAATGTAGTTTCGTTACCCGTGATTGGCATACCATGATTAGCCCATTGTGTAGTTTTGTGCTACTATAAACAAACAAATTAGTTATTCTGTAGTAGTGTGAATTACATTCTCTAGCAATATGCTTAATATCTAATATGCAAGTTTTTTGTGCAAGTTCTTAATCCAGTAGATTTAGTAACATCTTTGAATACAACAGCATTTCATACAGCATAGACGTTTACAGCTATCAATTCTGTGGTCTGACTTTTGTTGTTGAGCAATGGATGAAGGCGTGTTCACTTTACCACAACCTACTATCGCGCCATCTTTACTAAAGAATTGTTACTATGAAACAAGTTACACTTCAAACCTATACAGGCCCGGCATGGCCAGGTGATTAGGGCGCTCGACTCGCGATCTGAGGGTTGCGGGTTCGAATTCCCGTCACACCAAACATGCTCGCCCTTTCAGCCGTGGGGGTGTTATAATGTAACGGTCAATCCCACTATTCGTTGGTAAGAGAGTAGCCCAAGAGTTGGCGATGGGTGGTGATGACTAGCTGCCTTCCCTCTAGTCTTACACTGCTAAATTAGGGACGGCTAGCACAGACAACCCTCGTGTAGCTTTGCGCGAAATTCAAAACAAACCATGCCTATAGCACAGAGATTAGGTGACCAGAATGTACCTGGAGCTTTTAACTGAGGTACTTCTAAACATGAAGGAATTCCGTGCATCGATACTTAATACGAGGTTTACGAAAATCTATATAAATGCTTTTGATGAACTTACAGTATATGAATTCATACAAAACAAGCCCCTATACACTGAGTGGTCACAAGTAAATAGACACCTAATTTTTCATCATTTAACT